TTATTTTGGGTAAAGAATCAAGGTATTTTCTTTTGGGGTTTGAGACAGGATAAGAAAAGTCTAACCTTGCCATATATCAAAAATCTATAATTCTTGAAGAATTAAAAGAATCCTTAATTCATTTAATATTCGAAGAACTAAAGATTAGAATTTGTTCAATTGCTCCACCTTAGAAAGTAGCATAAATTCAATCCTTTAAAAGATTAAGCAAACGATGAAAGATTAGAGACGTGTTTAAACAAAACAATCCTCTAAGTGCAAATGGTATATGACATGCCCCCTTATTCGGCTGTTTATGCCCCTGAATCCATCAGGTTTTGGATATTGCGCTTCAGCGCCTTATAGTTTTCAGAGGAATGTTTGGGGCTTCTTATGTGGTAACACCTAACAGCTTTAACATCGTAGTCCTTAGGATATGGGGATTCTTTCTTAGATCATCATGGCCGGCTTTGTCCTATCATCAGCTGATCAGGCTCTTTAATGTTACAATCTTGCTTCCATGTGGTTAAATCCACTTCATCGAGTCCTTCATGACTTAATTTCATGTTTGTGAAAATGCTTGAAAATGTAGATGAAGATGCAAAAAGGCAAAAATGCAAAATGCAAGAATGCATGAAATGTTTGAGGCATTGATCCAGAAAAGTGTCATTATTATAAATAATCTTTATTTAGACAAAAATATTTTATCTTGTAAGAGACATAAAAACAATCAAAGGTACATTCGGACTAAATCCTCTAGACCCCGAACAGCTTTAGTAGATTGACAAGTCTTTATCTTCATCTGTCACTGGTTGTATGCCTTGTCGGACCATTCCAGCTTCCCTTGCCAGGCTGTATAGATGACGAGCTGCCTTCTGTACTTGATCCAGGAAGTCTCGGATGAGTGCGTCTCTGGCCTTCACTCTTTGTTGTTCTTGCTCCTAACGAAAACACCACTGTAAACCTCCGTCGAAGAGCACTATCTGAAGCTCGCTCACTTTCTTCTTGAACCCATCTACAATAGCTTCTAACTCAGCTATTGTTTTGTCATCTCTCTCATGTTGTTTCTCCAGATTAGCCATCTGGATTCTCAAGCATTGGTTTTGATGCTGACTGTCTGCTAAGCACCTCTGGGCAGTCTTCATCTGTTCCTTCCAAGCTCTTCATCAGGCCTTCGAACTTTCTTTTCAGGCTATGAGCTTCGTCTTTCCAGTATTCAGAAGCCACTTTCAACTTGGAGTTATCCTTGACTTTATCTTGATACCCATTTCTCAAGTCTTCGAGCTCAAAACAGACTTTTTTCTGTTCCTTTTCCAGTTTGTCTGCTCTATCTTTCTGAGAATCGGCATCTAGTTTCCATTGATAACGTTCAGCTTCAAGTTCCTTAACTCTCTGTTTCAGCTCATTATTCACAGCTTCAAACTCTACCTTGACTATCTCAAGTTCAGAAGGACAGGCCTGAGATGTTCCTCCATGGTCCGAGTGTCTTCACAGTCTGGCATCGGGATGCTATCATTCTTTCTCAATCTTCGCCACTCCATATAATCCGGAGTAAGCATATCTCTGGCAGCCACGACATCCATCCGGGATACTTTCTTCCATGACTCGGCTGCCTCTTTGATCCTCTTCTTATAACTGTCACCTTGATACACAAACTCTGATGTAGATAATTCGTATGTTGCTGGGATAAACTGACGTGCCCCATACTGTCTAAGTGCCAACAACGGAGCATACCCAACTGCACCCCAAAGTCCAAGTAAGATCATAGTGTCAGAATCCCCAAATCAGAAAAGAACGTCACTGAGGAACAACAAAGGGGCTTTCCAAATAATATCCCGGTCTGAAGATGTGTGAAGACCTTCATCCATTTTTCCTTTGAAGCGCCTTCAAGCCATTTCATGGTGATGAACTCTCTCAAAGGTGAATACGTAGTGCTAAATTGGTGGTAGGTAACCCCATTAGTTTTTCAGAAGTGGCTGTGAATCCAGACTTGAAGGAGTTGAACACATCCAATGAATCTACCTCCGCCAACTCTTCGGCAATGGTTGAGATACCGAAAGGTATCGACTAAGACGGTTGGTGCTGGGTTGACTCGTTTCGAAAGTTGCTCAATCAGTTCCACCACGACTGCGTCAATGCATCCCAAAATCTTTGGAAAGATGATCAAGCCATACAGACCTAGTGCAAAAAAGATTTATAGTCTTCCATTCATCAGGGTGGTCATTCATTAGTTTCCTTATGTGATCCACTCAATTCTTGCCCGTTACCTTTGTTTTGGAGTCGGTCAGTCACCCACTTTTCATCAACTCCTACAATCTTAGCCAGTCTGTTCTTGAAAGGCTGACTCTTGATGTGTTTGATGTAGGCTCGCTCCAGTTTAATGCTTTCACAGTGCAATAGTGTAGTATACTCCTCGATGGTAGGTACCATGTCCTTTTGGTTAAAAGTGAAGCAACTGTATCACGGGTTCCAGAATTGAACCAAGGCTCTGATTAAGGGATCACCGGTCTTAACATGAAGCAAAAGTGCAATGTCACCATACCGCTGACTGAACTTCTATTTTCGATCATTCTTCCAACAGTCCCAGATGTCTCGAAGTTCTTGCACATTGTTATGTTTTAGGCTGATAGAGGCATAACTAACAAGCTCTAACACATAACTTCCTTGAAGACTGTCTCCCTTTTCTTTCTGAGTCTTCTCGAACCATAGTCGTACCTCTGGGTTTTTAATCTCCTGTATTACAACACCTTTGTCCATTAATGCAGATTATTTATGGTTAACGACACGTTTTTTGGTGGATCAACACCTTTTGAATGATGCAGATGATGAAAATAAAATAAAATAGAGGAAAAAAAATGAAAAGAGTTAGTAAGGTAAAGATAATAATCAAAGCAATCATGAAAATAAAAGTCCTACCCCACATGATATCTACCCCACATGCTTATTATTCCTACCCGGACATGATCTCTATCCCGCAAGTTGATTTTGAACAAGTCCTAACCGCATAAATTTCTAGTTCACATGTTTTGAACAGAAAGTAAAGCAGAAAATAATTTTGGCATCCTAGGGTTTAAAACGAGGTTTTGGGGTGGGCCCTAACTCCTTGTAGTCTCCGGATTTAAGTTCTAAAAAAAGGTACTCGAGTTCTCCTTGGCGGTGTCCCCTTGGGGTTACCAGACCCTTAGTCCTAAACCCATCACAGGCTTGTGTGGACTAAGTTAAACTTGAGAGGAAACATTCCCTTATGCCCATACGGAGAATAAATTCACATGAAGGCATAAAGTATATGAATCCCGAAGGTTACTTGCTAGGCCCATACGATGAATAAATTCACACGAAGGCGTCGCTTTCACCCCACTTAAAACGGGTTCGGAGCTCGGGTATAGAGCCTTTGGATGAAAAATCTTAAGGGCTGAAATCATTAAAAAACGGTCAGTACAACTATTTACTCGAAAATATAATCAAAAGTAAGTAATAAGGATCGAAATGTTACCTTCAAATTTAAACTTACCCTTTTCATTAAAAAGGCAACTGTAAATTACCTTAGCCTGACTCACTTACCTGTGTCCCCAGTGGAGTCGTCAAGCTGTAAATAATAAATTTCATATATTTTTGAAAAAATTATTACCTTTTAAAATTATTTGTTTAAAAATATAAAAAAATATTAAAATAAACTTTTAATTACAATTGAGGGATCAAATGAATTATTATTCATTAATTTTTAATTTTTAACAACAGTTAATAATGTTTATTCATTTTTAATAAAATTATTTAAATTTTAACATTAAAATTACACAATACAGATAATCTAGTATATAATAAAATTGAGGGTAAGTATTTTAAAATATGAATAATTTTATAAAAGTTTTATAACTAGTATTTCTTTTACAAAATGATGATGATGATGATAAATATTTTATAATTTAAAAAATTATAAATTTCATATATTTTTAAAAAATTATTTCCTTTTAAAATTAATTATTTAAAAATATAAAAAATATTAAAATAAACTTTTAATTATAATTGATGGATCAATTGAATTATTATTTAATAATTTGTTCAAAATATATGAAATTTATAATTTTTAAAATTATAAAAACTTTATTATTATAAAAAATAAACTTGTGACATTAAAATACTAATAAACTCAACCACTATACACACTGCCTACTTCATTAACTTGTGACAAGATCCAGCTAGTTCACAACCTAGACCCGTGCAGTGAGGTGTCTGTACAATTTAAAATGTTGACGTTTTTACATAAATGTCACCGTAATATAAATTAATCACATATTTGGCACCCGTTTAAAAATATTTACAAAACTAACACCCAGATTTTTTTACACATTTCGCCTTTGACCACGTGACGTAAAGCCCGGTACAGAGATACTCTTTTCTACAAAAAGTATTAGATTAAAAAATATAATCTGAACGATACCTGATCGAAAATATCAAATGAAAAATGTGTATTTTTGAGATAAACGCCACAATGATATGTAAGTAGACGACGATAGATGAGTAGGCCATCAATGGGAGTAACAACGACCGTGGACACTGACAAGTAGAATAGATGTTTTAGGATTAAAGATTTTAATTATTTTTTAGATTTTATAAATAATTTTGAATTTTTTTGAAAACCAATAATAATTTTAAGTATTTTTAAAATAAAACTTTTAAAAATTTATAGAATTACCGTAAATCACATTCTGAGTAATATGACAAAATTATTTTAACGTTTATTACTGTTGAAAAACTTAGATGATAACTTAAAACGTTAAATACTTAAACAAATAAAAAAATAGAAATCTAAATAAGAAAAGATATATAATTTAATATTTTTTATTAAGCCTAAATTAAAAGACTCAAACGCCCAAATGCTTCACACAAGACTCTGCAATTGCATCCCCATTTCATCATTCATATCTCATTGAAGTTGTTTTTTTTTAAAAAAATGCTCATTTAAGTTTCATCACCGGAAAGAATCACAAATCTGAAGAATCATAATATGGCAACAAAACCCAGATTCCAGAAACATCATTTGAAGGAACATGAATAAATAAATTAAATCCCAAATGGAATGTTCGACAATTTGAAAGTAGAGAGTAGTAACCGTCTCCTCCTTCACATCAAAGCATTGAATATCACCCATGCTGCCGCAACAACAGCTGTAATGAAGGTCGAGAAGCTCAGACACGGCGAAGAGGACGGCAAAGAAGACGGCGGTTGAGGGATTGAGCCGAAGACGGTTGGGTAAGACGGTGAAGATGCAGTGTCAGGCAATGCAGAAGGCGCAGATGCAGAGCCATTCCCTGAAAGCACTGCGATGTATAACTTCTGCTTCTTCTCGCAGTGACCGGGCGTCCCACTGGTGAAGAAATATTCCCCGGGCTTAGTGATGTTAAATAGTGTGTCTCCATTGTTCATATACAAGATCGGATCCTTGAGATTACAAGTATTGTAGGATTGTTCCGTCACTTGAATCACTGAATCTTGGCTTGGTGGGTATAAGAACACTGCAATGAAAACACTAAAAACCATGAGATTGAAACCGAAATGGAAAAGATTAATGAAAGAGATGATGATAAAGTTACATAGAGAGTCCCCAAGCTTGAAGGAATGAAGCTTGGACCATTTGGCATATACTTGGGGATTTGCTGATGTTGGAATGCCCCAAGCATCTAAATCTCCAACCTTGTACTGATAGCAAAGGACTTTAGTTTCCAATAACAAAAGGAACTGGAAAGCACAAAACAAATGATTTCTAAGATTGGCCATCTTCTTTGCTTCTTCTCTTTCTCAAATTTGGAGATGTGAAATCTTATTGACCTCGGATCTGCATCTAAGCATGGATGGGTGGACCCTAAACAACATGCCTGCTGAATGTAATTACCTTAATACCCTGGGAAGGGATATATGTAGTTCATTACAATTTCCAAGTCTCTTTTAAATAGTTGGGTAAGCGCGTTATTTTGTTGAGTGCTATATTATTTAAATATATAATGATTTTTTAATTATATGATATTATTTTATTTATTCATTTAAATATTAAAAGTTATAAATTAGTGGTCTAATTATTTATATGTTTCAATTTTATATTTTTTGTTAAAAAATTAACGTATGTCTGAGTAGATGTTAACCTACTAACTAGAAAATGATAAAACCATATTCTAACGATGTATATTGATATTGTCGTTGCTTTCAAGCACTGGCTCGACAAATAAAGTTTCAAACACTAGTTCAATGGTACAATGTAATCGAAGAGTCGATCTACAAAATACAGCTCAAACGATTCTTCGATAAGATTTTATTATATCTCAATCAGCAAGTTAACGTGTAGCTCAGATGAACGCTAATTTTTTAACGGAAAAGGATGAGCTTGGAACATATAATAGTTGAGCGACCTTTTTATAACTTTTAATAGCCGGTGACTCAACAAAACAATGCCCTATAATTGGAAATCACTTTATAATTTTTAATAGTCATGAGACTCAACAAAATAGCACTATATAATCAAGAGACAATTTATATACTCTACCCTAAATAGTCCACAGTAATGTATGAGTAACTTAGGTTTTTTGTTCAAGTAGGTTGGTAAATAAGATGAGTTCATTTTGAGTATGGTTGAGTTAGATTCGAATTAAAAAAATTAAAATTGAGTTGGATTCGGTTCAAAAGTTCACGAGTTTAAAATTATCAAACTCGACTCGAATTAAAAAAAACGAAGTCTGACTTGAGTTTGAAAAACTTGAACTCGAATTATTCTCAAAATTAGTTTGGTTGAAGCTCGAACTCAAACTTAAACCTTAAGTATATGAGAACCTTGTACCATATATATATTCATATTATTAATAGCTTAATTTTAAAAATGAAAATTTTAATATATTATTTTTTCGAGTCGCTCACGAGCTGTTCGAGTCAGATATCAAATAGTTTGCTTCACTCGTTAAGAACTTAAGTTTGAGCTTGAATTGAGTATATTTGAATCGAGTATTAATCAAGTTTCGATTGAATCAAACTCATAACTTGTTATATGTCTTGTCTCATTTACAACCCTATAATCAAATTTTGTTTTGAATTTTTCAGATTTTAAATTAAATTAGTTAGGTATTTATCCGAGTTTTTAAAGTTAAAATTATTTTATTTTTATCACTTAAATTTAACACTTGTGTTAAAATGATTTTAGATTTAAATCATATTAATTTTAAATAATTAAATTTTTTATGATAAAATTAAATCATATACGAATTAAGATTCAAGTTTTCATGTTTACATCAATTTTAAGCAGAAATATAAGATTTTATGTTAAGGAATGAACCAATATAATTTTAAGACGTGACAAATTTATAAAGCTTTATGGGGCAAAAATAATCTTTCAATATAAAATATATAGAAAAAAATCTAAAATATATGGTAATTTTAAACGGGCGACTGCCCCCACATACCCCTCGATCGAGTGGTAGATCTATGTGTATGGTAGGGTGGGCATGAAATTCGAATTTCTTTATAATGTTGTTCATTTTACTAATGATACATACCTTAAATTTTATTTGTGCTTACTCCATACGAAAAAATTCTATTATTAATATAAATTACCTAAAAAATATTTCTGGATCCGCCCCGCTCGATACATCACCGATGAAATTCACATGTCTAAACTGTATATTGTATATTACACACCAGTTAAAGCTTGAAAATGTATGATATAAAGATAATGAGAAGAGTTGGGATAGAAAAAGAAATATAGCATTGTGTTGCGTGGAATCGGAATGGACTCAATCGACTGAGTAATAATGTATGATTGCACATGGCCAAGTTGGATAGTCAGCTGGAACATGCGAGAGGGTGGAACATGTGGGAATTTTTTTTTATATTTATTTTAAGTTTAAAGGTCAATCAAATTAGATATCATTTAACATTAATATTTGTACTAAATCTGTCATTAAAATCTAAATTAATGAGTATAACACTAAATTTTAATTTTACATACATTATAAATAATAAATGGTGTGTTAATATGAATGTGATACATGATACAAATGATATCATTTTGATGTGGATATGCTCATATTCAAAACGTCATTTTTTAGTAGTATACAAAATCTTTAATTTCTATATTGATTTGGATGCTGGGTGTTATAACACGGTAACTTTTTTGACTATCTGTCATCATTTACAATAAGATAAGTAAAAAACGATTACATTAGTTTATTCATCTCTCTTCTAATCAGATTGTTTTCAACGAATCAAAATCGTTGGAAGTTCATCTAAAAGTTTGACAAGTTAATTGAAATGATCCAAAATTCGATAACCAATTCAATTGAGTTTTTGTTCAAAATTCATCGGTGGTAAAACATCGTGATAATAGTCTGATTTGAATTTTCTAACTAAACCTGGTGTGTTAGATTGTTAAATTGAATGATTTAAAAATAATTTTTTATCATGCTTTTAATATTCATTACTATTATACTTGTATATTACATCTAATACTTATAACTATAAATATAGAGGTTAGAGAAGTTTCTTTGCACAACTCATATTGAGATAATAATACAAATTTCTCTCATTATTCTTGTATCTATTCTTGTTCTTTTTATTGTTTCATTCCACTTATTTTACAACACGTTATCAACACGACTTGCTCAGAAATAATAATTTATTTATATCAATGATCAGATTCATCATTCACAATTTTTTATTCGAGATTTTTAAACAATAAAAATTAATTTTTTAACCAATAAAAATTAATTTTTAACCATACTAATACACCACAATATCTCAAATAAGTATATTACACACCACTTTTGACGTGTTAGAGCATTCTGTTTTTTTAATATTAATCATATATTTAATTTATTTTGATTACACTTTGGTGTTCGATTGAAATCTTACATATTAACAATGTTATAATAATTTATAACTATTAAAGTGAGAGAACACGTTGAAAGTTGAAACCTCTTCTTCTCCATTCATTATAGTTAAATCGTGTCTTATTTATTTAATTTTATTTAGCCTGAAATAGCATAAAGTTCTGTCGTCCATGAATGTCTAAAGATTCGGTTTCATAGAAATCGGGGATAGACCTAAGGGGAGTATATTTCCTTAAAAATATTTTTTCCGTCCATCTAAAATTTTATAAAGTTATATTTTCTTAAAATTTTATAAATTCGCCAACTCAAACATAAAAAAGTTTAGTCCGTTCCTGTAACACCTCTGACCCGGTACCCGATCCGGACATGAATATGAGGTGTCACATGACTTTCCAAAACTTTAACTCATTGAAACGTTAAAAATTTAAACTTTTATTTTAAACTTAGTGGTGAAACCCTCATGAAAAAGTAAATATCGAAAATTCATAATTCACAATGAAAATAAATACTTAATATATTTTCATTAAACTTAAAATAATATGATTACAAAACTGATTAGAGCATTTCGATTTAAACTTTTATGATACATGCCAACAAAATTACAAAATAAGAAGAAACCTACACTTCAAATCGTTCTAATTTAATCTTCTTCAAGTATATTTTTCCTTTCCTAGCTTTACTCCTCGGATCTCTTTGAACCTACATGTGAAATAATCACATGCTAAGTCGTTGACTTAGTGAGACATAAATGAGTATAAAAACAAAAAGCATTTGCTTGACATTATCAAGGAACATTATATATGGAAACCAATATATTTTCAAGAAACATTATCAAGAAACATTATATATGAAAAAAGTTCAGTTCATATCAATTTGTTTAAAGAGCCCAACATATTATTGAGAACTCAAGGTATATGAGTACATTTAGGTTGTGCACTATAATTGCAGTCGAAACTGCCGCGTAGAATTTGCACCGGAGTTCCACGTAGAATATGCACTGAAGTGCCACGTAGTTTTGTCCTGAAGGACCGCGTAGAACCCTCAACTCTTGGCATGCCAACTATACCTCTAATTCTCATAACATATACTTTGGGCTTTAACCATATAATTATTTCACATTTCATTATTCAAAGTATCTTTTATTCACATAGACTACATTCACATAGAACATTTTCACGTAGAACATATTCACATACTAATAACATCCAAATAGAAATTTAGAAATACAATTTATATAAAACATTGTAAAGATATTGCATAAAATAAATAAAACTGTTTTCGATCGAAAACCTTCGAGGTTGGCTCATCGCAAGCCGTCCTCATATTGAATATAAAATAAGTAAGTTGCACACACCTTGCCTTACGTAAGTCCTAAACGAAATCCTTTTTAATTTTTGTTTGATATTTTACTACGTCGTTTCTTTCGGTACGCTTTCGATCCAAATCTACACATCAACATGTCCAAGATAAATACCAAAAACTCAATGAACATTTAACAAATTAGCAATTACATAAACGAAATAAAACACCTAATTCAACATTTCCGATTGATAGTATCGGTCCTCTATCCACAGTATCGATACTTCTCTTTTATGGTACCGATACCTACTTCAGTATCGATACCATTTTGGCATTCTGGAATTTCATCTTTAATTACAGTATTGATACTACTTCAATCGGTATCGATATTGTTCATCTGATTCATACACTTTTCCTTCAATTTAACCTTATAGTATCAGTACCGTTCTTCCAGTACCGATACCCTTACCCAAAATTCACTTATTTTAATTTGAACTTTACCCAAACTTCACTTAAATCTCTTACCCTTAACTCTATTCATGCCTCAAACTCATTATCACTTATCCCAACTAACTTACATCCATAAATCCCCTTTTAACATCCAAATTTTTCCAAAGATCACTTAAAACTAAAAATCATACCCAACCTTCAAACATGTTTCCAATCCTTTCTAATACTTCTAATTCT